CTAAATGTCAAATATGTGTGGAATCAAAGTATGCTAAGCATCCTTATAAGTCCGTTGAAGGAATTCAAGTCCTTTAGACTTAATTCACACCAGATATTAGCGACCATGAAGTCAACACCATCTCGCGGTGGGAAAAAAGTATTTTATTACTTTTATTGACGATAGCACGTGATACTGCCTATGTTTATTTTACTTAATAGTAAAAGATGAGGCAATTGATGCTTTCAAGCAATACAAGAGTGAAGTTGAAACACAACTAAACAAAAAGATCAAAAATGATAAGAAGTGATAGGGGTGGCGAATATGAATCTCCTTTTGAAGAAATATGTTTGGAAAATGGCATTATTCACCAAAAACTGGCCCTTGCTCTCCACACATCTAACGGAATTGCGGAGAGAAAAGATCGAACATTGAAGGAAGATGATGAATGCGTTGCTGATAAGTTTCTGGCTTACACAAAAACTTGTGGGGGGAAGCTATTACTTACAGCTAACCGAAATAATCAACCGTGTACCTCATAGTAAACACAATCCATTCCTTATGAGAAGTGGAAAGGGAAGGAAGCCTAGCTTGAAATACTTCAAAGTGTGGGGGTGTTTAAGCTAAGGTACAAGTTCCTAAACCTAAAAGGGTTAAGATAGGTCCAAAAATGGTTGATTGTGTGTTTATTGGATATGTAACCAATAGCAAGGCATATCGTTTTTTGGTTCATAAATCAGAAAATCCTGAGATTCACATTAATACGATAATAGAATCAGATAATGCTGAATTCTTTGAAAACTATTTTTCCATATAAAAAGGAAAGTGAAGTGACCTGCCAAAAGTAAAACGACTTCGGGAGGAAAATAAGATGATAATGACTAATGAAGAAAATCCGAGAAGAAGTAAACGTCAAAGGACATCTACTTCATTCGGTCCAGATTTTCTGACTTTTCTGTTAGAAAATGAGCCTCGTACCTTCAAGGAAGCAATGTCTTCCTCAGAGGCACAATATTGGAAAGAAGCTGTCAATAGTGAAATAGAATCCATATTGAGCAACCATACTTGGGAATTGGTTGATCTTCCTCCAGGTAACAAAACGTTGGGTTCTAAATGGATTTTCAAGAAGAAAATGAAAGACGATGGTACTATTGACAAATACAAGGCAAGACTTGTTGTCAAAGGATTTAGACAACGAGAAGGTCTTGACTATTTTGACACATACTCGCCGGTAACAAGAATTAGATCCATTCGGATGCTAATAGCGTTAGCCGCCTTGTATGGTCTTCAAATCCATCAAATGGATGTAAAAACAACCTTCTTAAATGGTGATCTTGAGGAAGAAATTTACATGAACCAACCTGAAGGGTTTGTGGTTCCAGGAAAAGAAAAGAAGGTGTGTAGACTTGTTAAGTCTCTTTATGGACTAAAACAAGCACCCAAACAATGGCATGCGAAATTTGACCAAACAATGTTGTCAAATGGTTTTAAGATTAATGAATGTGATAAATGTGTTTACATTAAGAACGTTCCAAATCATATAGTCATTGTTTGCTTATACGTTGATGATATGCTAATAATGAGCAAAGACATTGCCGACATTCAAGCTACTAAGCGCATGCTTGCTAGTAAGTTTGATATGAAAGACTTAGGAGTTGCCGATGTAATTCTAGGAATTAAAATCAAGAGGACTCCTCAGGGTCTAGCTTTGTCTCAATCACATTACGTGAAAATGGTACTTGAAAAATTCAAACATTTGGAATTTAGAAGTGCAAGAACTCCAATTGACTTAAATCATCATCTTATAAAGAATAAAGTGAAAGTACGTCTCAATTGGAGTATGCTCGTGTGTTGGGAAGCTTAATGTACATCATGAACTGTACACGACCTGATATAGCTTGTGCGATAAGTAAACTTAGTCGATTCACAAGTAATCCCAACAAACATCACTGGGTAGCAATGAAACGAGTTCTGGGATATTTGGAATATACCCAAGACTACGCTTTGCACTACAATAAATATCCTGCGGTTATCGAAGGATATAGTGATGCAAATTGGATAACCGGCTCAACAGAAACAAAGTCCACAAGCGGATATATTTTTACTGTTGGTGGAGGAGCAGTATCTTGGAAGTCTTCCAAACAAACGTGCATTGCTCGCTCTACAATGGAATCAGAGTTTATAGCTTTGGATAAAGCCGGTGAAGAAGCTGAATGGCTTAGAAATTTCTTAGAAGACATTCCGTTCTGGCCAAAACCTTTGGCTCCTATTTGCATACATTGCGATAGTGAGGCTGCAATAGGACGGGCAGGGAGCGTTATGTATAACGGAAAGTCTCGTCATATACGATGAAGACATAACACCGTTAGACAACTACTTTCTAGTGGAATTATCACTATTGATTATGTAAGATCAAAGGATAATGTGGCGGATCCGCTTACAAAAGGCTTAACTAGAGAGGGAGTTGAGAAATCATCTAAGGGAATGGGACTATGGCCGAGGACAAGTCAACATGGCGGTAACTCTACCTAGAATTTTGGATGTTCCGAGATCTAGGTTCAAGGAGCTCAAACAAAGTTGTGATTGACCGGTTCAACATTGTCAAAGTAAAATCTTTGGTCCCTTCTCGTGATGAAGACAATGTTCAGTAACAAGGATAGAACTTTACACGTTCTTTAATGATTACCTAAGTTTGATGAGGTATTTATCAAATAGTGTCAATCTAAAGGATTACACGTTTAGGAATCACCTATGTAAGTGTGAAGTGGAAGCCGCTTCAATGAGAATTCTGTAAGGCCAATTCTCTACGCACTTATGAAACCAGGCGGTGTTCATGGCTAAAACGAACACAACAATTAGAACCAAAAGACGGTTAAGGGTTGGTTGTGTGAAATATGGTTGTTTAGGTATATACTAAAGTTCGACGGTTCAAAGATATCAAATCTACCGACTGACCGAGTATATCCGACATATGTTCACTACGGAAAGTTCAAAGGGAAACCTACTTATCCAGATGCAATTAATCCTTACTTGCAAAATCACATAGCTTTCATCTATGATCTTTCTTGATACAGCCATTCCCATTCATGTGGGGGATTGTTAGACTTTAAGCCATTGGGCTTTAAAGTAGAAGAAGAGTGAATTGGAAATGGAGGGAAATTGAAAATTTGAAGAAGTAAACTTTTGTCTTGCACTTTGTCCCTCATTGGTGAGGGACAACCACATTTGTGTGCTTATATATAGAATCACTTCTTAAAGCTCTTAAAAGGAGTTGAAGAGAATGAACTCTCGCGCCGTCGTCGTCGCTCGCTCGGCTCGGCTTTGGCTTTGGCTTTGGATTTGGATTTGGATTTGGAAAATGATCGATCGATAAGATTATTTTTGGACAAAATTTATTTAATTATTTAATAATTAATTAAATGCCAAATCACTGCTGAAAATACGCCAGAACCTTGCTGAAGGTTCAGAGAGCCTCTCTGGCCGCGGTTCTGCCGCGACCGCGGTAGAACCGCGGCAGGCATGTTCAGAAAGCCTCTCTGACCGCGGTTCTTCCGCGACCGTGGTAGAACCGCGGCAGGCAGCGTATTCTTCTGAAAAGTCACCTTTTCCAGACACCTCTTCTGATAATTGCCTATAAATTCTGAGGCAAGACTCCATTTTCTACACACGAAAAACACTCCAGAACTTCTTTCTTTCTGAATATACTGCATTCTAGTTTGCAGTCTCTCTCTCTCAAATTCGTAAGTGTGATTTTGCTCCGTTCTTTAAGTTCGTTGGTATCCTGCAGTTTGTATTGCCACTGTTGCAGGAAGGTTTATTCCGTTTTATCCTGGGAGGATTTAATCCATTACCTTGGCAACGTGTGAGGGGGTTAAAATTCCTTAAGGACACACAAGCAAATTGTGGACTCGGAATATTTCTTAAACTCTTCTGTTTTTCCAGTTTCTTTTATTTTTCTAACAGTTTTTTTTTCCGAATTTGTGTTTTAACACAGTAGCTCTTACAAAAGGTTCATTAGCTCATGGTCTGTTCTTTTCACGAAGTTCTACAACATTGCTTCATGGCTATACAGATTCCGATTGGGGGGAGATATAGATGATAGGAAGTCCACCACTAGTTTTGCCATTTACCTGGGCAATCATTTGATATCATGGTCATCAAGAAAGCAAAGAGCTGTATCCCGATCAAGCACTGAGGCTGAGTATAGAGCACTAGCTGCTGCAACTTCAGAAATCACTTGGGTGGAGTTTCTGCTCCGAGAAATTGGATGTTTTACCTCTTCTACTCCTATTCTATGGTGTGACAATTTGAGTGCTACATACTTAACAGCCAATCCCATTTTTCATTCTCGTACGAAACACATGGAAATTGATTTCCATTTTGTTCGAGACAAGGTTCGTGCTAAGACGCTTTCAGTTTGGTATGTCGGTTCTCTTGATCAAGTTGCCGATCTATTGACGAAGCCATTGTCGAAGTCACGCTTTCTTGAGTTTAAATCCAAGTTGATGGTGGTCCAGACCCCTGCTCAACTTGTGGGGGAATGAAGAAGGATAACGTTGATCAGTTGTAGTATATTATCAATTGGTTTTGTCCATTTGTGTCCTAGTTTGCATAGGATTGTTATCCTCTGTATATAACTTATTTTAGGACTCTTACATGATTTGTATGTATAAATATGGCAGAGTATTTTCAATACAATTTTCAGAAAGCCTTTCAACTAATCCTTTTAAATATGGGTCCTTATAAGCTGATGTGGCATACTACAAATGCAATTATCGGATTTTAGATTTCCGGTGGGTATATGTTGAGGGAACAGCCAAAATTTAAAGTTATAGTCTATTAGTTGAGTTATTTTAAAGTGATAAATGAAAGTTGAGTGACTTTTATAATATTAGCATTTAGTTGGATGACCACGGCTGAAATTACCCCGATGTTTTTGCTTGTGGAGTACTTGAATGAAAAAAGAACTAGCATAATTAAGTTGTCATTTCATTCTTCAAATATAGAAATGAAGAGATATATCAATTAGCAGTAACTGAAATATTTTGGCCACCATTACAATGACCAGGAATGCCGCAAATAAAATAGTATGTGCCTCTGCCAAGAGTTACTCTATCATTTCCAGAACTAAGTGTTTTTCCTGAAGCCTTACAAGCACCGTAATTAGCCTTGTTCACTATCACCACATTGTGAATACCTTTAGGATATTTAAATACTGCAAAAAAAAAAAAATTATTAAAGTCATGAGGTAATAAACACTACATAAACTCCTATTTAATGACATAAACAGTTAGTATTTCTTTAACATACTAATTACTACCTCAGTTTGATAAATAAGCACTTATGCGATTTAATTTTTTTTTTAAAAAGAAAAAAATGTAAAAAAAAAGCAAATAATGGGTGTTAGTTTCATACCAAGCACATCGCCAGCTTTGAAATTCTTGCCATTAGGCCAGTTGCTAACACCAAAAGTCCAGCCATTACCATCTCCAACATAGTAAATAGCAGCATTAGTTATTTGAATAGTAAACAACACCATAAATATGACACATAAAATTGCAGACCCTTGTTTTCCTTGCATTTTATTTAACTTTGTAATTAGTAATTATTATTTTTTTGGATAGAAATTGTATAGTAGAGTGGGGGATGGAATTTGTTTTAAAAGGTGTAATTCAAAGATTTAGAAGTTAGCTGAATGCATTGAGTTACAACTTTGTGGCTTTTTTATAGTGGCACTAGCTAGACTGCCTAAATAATGCTAATTTCATTTTCTAGATTTTGACAATCTTCTTTTGGGCATTCAATGTAGATTTCATGAAATCTACCCATGTTGCATAGTGGAAAAGTGCGACTTTCTTCGTTCAATAAGTTTTTGTTTCCTTTCAAGTATGGACAATTTACAGATAAGAGCTTAAATAACCGTTTAGGTGAAGTTAAATGAGCAAAATGCAAATCGGTCCGTCGCCCGAAATTAATTATATTTATTGGCCAAAATTAGTGTATAAAATATGTATATTATACGTATGTTTATCCTAAAACTCGAGTAACAATTAAACTTGTATTGTAGTTTTAAGAATACATAATTTCACTTAATACCAATTGAATAACTTAGAGATAAATGATGGGAAGACAAGAATGTAAAACAAACCAATGCTTGGATAATGCCCTCGAGCTGATGAACCCTCGAGAGTAGAGAAGTAAGAACAGTTAAAGAGCAGTAAGTTGATGAGCAGAAGAAAGAAATATTATATTTGCGTGATGTTCATGAATGTAAGGTCTTTACAAATGATGGGGACCGCTCTTTATATACTAGAGGAATCCTAATTATGGTACAATTCTAATTACGGAAGTAAATCCCATGATTGATACAAATAATCGCCCTTGATTTGATCCGTTCCGAGATTTTCGCCGTGATCTCCGACCAGCTATGGATATTTCGCCTTTCTGTTATTGCGTTCCGCTCGAAGCTGATCATATCTGGTCTCGATCGTCGGGGACTTCGATCTCGACGGGTACCTCGATCTCCGAACTCGGTACCTTGTCTTCGTGCTTAGGCCGGATCCATTATGAGGCAGACCCTCGAAGTAGTTCCCTGATCTCGAAATAATGGTAAAATCGGGACGTCCCCTCGTTTCTTGGAGTGTAATGAGAAGAAACTAACTAAGTCTTCAATTTTGCACATCGACCAATTATGACGTCACCCTCGTGACGTAAGCGGCGGGGGTGACTAAAGCGTCGCGTCTTTACAGTTTCCAAGACCATTAATTAGTGCCAGTTAATAGTCGGCCACTAGTGTTTTAAAACCGTCATAGCAGAAATTATAAATAGACCATCTTCATAATTTTCCCAAACTTTACTTTCAAAATTTCCCTTAATCTTCAAAAACTCTTCTACTCCCTTCAAGCTTATCAATTCTGCAGGTTCTTCAAATCCCGTTTGCCAATCTTTTCTTAAAACAACAAGTTTCGTCTTCTTCTTTCTTTGAACTCATATAACAATGGCGAAAACATCTAAAACCATTCCCCAAAAGGAAAAAACTTCTTCATCGCGGCCGGCCGGCGACAAAACGCCAGTGGAGCTACGTATCGAGGAGTGTGTTTCGGGGTCGTGCGATCTTACCTCTGACTTCAAAGTCGAGAAACCATCTTCGGTCCCTGGCCGATGTGAGCCCATGTCGAGATATATATGCTCGATAACTGAAGGCGATCTCGAGCAGGTGATAAAGGATTGCCACTGGGAAAACAAAGAGGTGGTGGTTCCTACCCCCGAGGAGGATATTACCACTCATGTGAAAGGGTTTTTAAGTGTTTACACTTATCCTTTCACGCTGGGTCTCGTCGATCACATTATTATTTAATTCTGCCATCAATACAACATAAACCTAGGACAAATCTACCCTTTTTTTTGGCGCATCGTTATTTTGCTCCAGTCCTTCGTGAGCAAGGTCGAAGGGATGTCTTTCACCCTCGATCATCTCATTAGACTGTACAGCCACCGTCTTTTTCGAGGCAGATTAGTAAGGCTTCAGCGCTGGGCCACAAAGGTATTGTTCTTGAGCATAGGAGAGGATAAAGATCAAGGATAGATGGGCCGGTTTGTCCGAGTGAGGACTTCTGACATAATCCCGGCCGAGAAGATGCCATTCCCTGAATAATGGAACATGAAGCGTAAGTACAAACCCACCAATGGCTTCTGTTGTTTGTTTTTCTTCTTTTACCTTTTCTGATCGACATTCTTTCTTATGATGCAACGGTCTCTTGGGTGCTCAGTGCAATCCCGAACCTTGAAGGCTGGGCTCGAAAACTGGCCTCGACTTCTTCCTACGCTAAGTGCTCGTGGCACGATTTGGCCGAGGGCCGATGGGAGGCCAAAAATTATAGTAAGCTTCTCTATCCGTGTTTGATGCCTTTCTGTGAAATGTTTCTTTTTTATTTTTACTTGATTTCCTCCCATACAGGTCTCGGAGACAAAGCTGTCATGAGGCTGCCCCCACCTGGGGAAGATGAGCCCCGAAACCGGCTAAGGATAAAAAGAGGAAAAGGGTCTCGCCTTCTGATACTCCAAAGCCTAAGAAGAGCAAGTCTCGTAAGTCGAAGAATGACTCAGCCACTCTGTCGGCTGACGTTGCTCAAAAACTACGAGATGAAGAAGAGGAGGGAGAAGATGCTGACTATGAGCTGGTGGCTCGAAAGAGGGGAAACGTCGAAGTTTCAAAAGCAGCTGAGCCGGTGATGGTCGAGGAGGACCATCTTTGACCGAGGATATCTCGTAATATAGTCCGAGCAATGTCCCCGGGTCATCAGGGGCTAAAGATGTCTCCCGCCGTGACGAACAACCGGCGAGTGTGCCTGCCCGCTGTGACGAACAATCGATGGGTGTTCCTGAAGGGTTCTATTCTGAGGCCCTCCGAAAAGGAGAGAGTGCCCCAAGTGTCTTGCTTTAGGCAATCAATATTGATGATTCGCTGCCCCTTCCCACATTTTCTGAGGGTCAATTTCGGGAGGCTCAGGCAATGGAGACCCCCGATGTGGGAGCGGCCCACGAAGGGGATGACTTATTCCGTGGCTGCTTCACAGGGGTCGATGATGTTTCAGACCTGGATGCATCGATCATTTTCGATGAAGCTCAGCGGCTCCTGAACCAGGTAGATCTCAGCCCCCGTTATTAGGTTTTCATTTGCTTTAATTTCCTTTAATAATTTCTTTCCATTCTCCACAGGCTGTGACGCTTAATCGGGAAGCATTTTCCAAATCCCGAGCTGAGCTGAACCAATGTGAGGCCGATCTCAAAAGGCTCACGAAGGACAGAGACGCCCTCAAATTCCTTTATGTGCAAAAAGAAGAGGAGATCAGGGACCTCCGAGCTGAATTGGCAACAACTCATAAAGAGCATACCGATCTCATCGAGCAGGTAATGTAAATTTTTGGGAGCTTGAAATATCAATTTGATATTGGCGACTAACACTAAGATCCTGCAGGTTCAGCAAAAGGCCAAAAAAATTGAGCAGCTTCGCGAGGAGGCCGAGATGAAAGAGGCAGAGACTTTGGGGTGGATGCAGAACATGGACCGCCTTGCCTCGGAGAGAGATACCGCTCGAGCCCAGCTATCTTCGGCTGAGCATCAACTCCAAAGATGAAGGAAGAGAGCTTGGCCCGAGCTAATAAAATTGAAGAGCTCGAGACTCGGTTGGCCGCTGAGCTTGCAAAGGCTACATCTGTAGCAGAAAGAGTAAAGGCCGATGCAGAGGCAGTCGTGGTCGTCTATCGAGCCGATGCCGAATCCGCTAATGCTCGAGAAAAGGAAATTTCCGATGCTGCTCAGGTTCGATTATCCTGTATTGCCGAGCATGCTAAGTGCCAGCCTCTAAGAGAGACTCTCGAAGAGATTCATGCTCGTGGTTTTGACCTCACGACCAATATTGAGAATGCGAAAGTGATAGAGAACGAAGCCGAAGCTTTCCTCTCTGATGATGATGACTCCGGGAGTGCGAGCGGATCCGAGAGCGGAGAAGATGAAGATGAAGCTCCCGGGGAAGATTAGGCACTTAGAATTTTTTTTTCTTTTTTGGATTTTTGTGTAAGGCCCTGAGTGGTCTCTGTAAATACTTTTGCATATATGAAAGGTCCTTTTTCTTTCCGTTTTGTCTCTGATTTCTATTTCGTGAAAACTTTGTTTTGCTTTCGCCTTATGATAATTCTGATATACTTTAGGTCTTGTGAGAAATTTGACTCACTTCGTTGCCTTGTGAAAATTTTGTTGAATCGGATTACTACAGTTTCTATAGTCGAGTGAGCACTTGCTCAAACTCGGAGTAGAAGAAACCCCTAGGTTTTGGTTAAGCGAGGGCGGTTCCTCGAGCTTGACAATGTAATGGCCCTTAGGCTATTGAATCGGGCCGATATGGCCTTAAAATAGTGGCTTTTTCCTTTTTCGGCTTAAAAGTTTAATCATATAAAAATTTGTTATGCCTTAGCGGAAGATAAATCTGTACCCATTAGGATTCAGTGTTGTCAAAAATTTTGTTATGCCTTAGCATAAGTTTGTTCAATTTGGTACCTCTTAAGGTTTTTGAGGGTCGATATTATCGAAACCCTAGGTAAATTTACCGAGGGTAGCCCTTTTTTTAACCGGTTTTATGAAAATATTTGAAGGCCTGTTTGATTACAGAATTCGAACGTCTCCGAACCGTGTTAGTTTGGCCGTAGCCTTTAACTTGATATTTGCCCATCGGGCTTGTCTCTCGATTATACTTTAAACTTGTTCGAAGTATCAGCCCCGAGTGGGGTGGCCGTGGCCCAAAAAATCGAGGATTGCCTTTTCAAGGTCTTAAGATTTCGAAGCTTAACAAATCGAGCATGTCAATTTCCGGACGGCAGTCCCCGAGTACGGGGTTAATTGCTCGTGCTTTAGTTGCGATTGGCTCTTGAGCCGGTTTCCGCAATATATCGTAAGTACGAAATTGTAAAGTAGAAATCTCACTAAGGCATGGAACATCTAACAAGGAAAAAGTAATTCTTTCAATAGATCATTCATGCGTACATGTTTTGTCATTAGGGATCTGGCAATCTACATGGGCACGGT